GCATCAGCTTTGATCCAATTAAGTTGTAGCTGTTGTACTTGTACTCACTCAGGGAGTAATGATTTTACTTGTAGAAGTATATGAATCTGACAAATGACATGCATATTTTTGATGCAGACACGCAGAGGTGCTCCATCAATCCACACCCTGCGGCATGAGCACCATTCAGAATTTGAGTGTTTCATGGTAGACTCTGTTCCCGCCGTAACATCAACCAACAAACACAGTCGGATCAAACACTGATTAAAACTTCAAAATCGTCGGGAGAGGTCTGAGGCAGAACATCTCTCACTTTGACAGTTTACCCTCGAATGACCTGCAGAAGGCGTCGACATGACACACTCGCAAAGCAAAATAAAAGCTCATTACAGAAACCTTAATTCTACCCATTCTGCTTTCTCCCACAGAATCTTTTTTTGGGATCTCTGCGAGAGTTTGGGTTTCCGTGGTTTGAATGCAAAGTAGCACCATGGCACTCAATCAGGCAAAAACAGGCAGGGCAGGCGGCTCGTTTTCGGTTCAATCAAACAACTTCAAACAACCACAAACTTCAACTTTAGATAAGAGTGTAAAAAATCAATAAGTGCCAGGGAGATGTTTTTAGACCGACTGTACTTGTTCCTCTCCGACATCTGCGCTGTTCTCTTTTCCATTTCACAGGAAGTAAGCCAATCCTCTCAACCCCTATACCTCAGTTAGTTTCTAATAAAACCTCAGTGGAGCTGCTCTATCAGAGGAGGGGGAAGAAATCAACAAGGAACATACATTTTACAAAGATCATTAGTTTTCTGAAGGTCAAATACTTTCCAAAATAATGGTCTAAGAATTACTCAAATACGACATAATAACTAAAGCTCTGCCTTTATGATGAAATGGCTCTGCTACCGCGGCTGTGTGTGTGTGTGTATATATATATATATCATTTATTTTGACATTTCTGCCCCCCCCACCCTCCACTAAACACATAAATTCTTTAATCTGTAAAAGCTGTAATTAGATGCACATGTAGCTAACAACTATCAGAAAGTCTAAGAAAAAAATGTTTTTTTGTATTGATTTATCATTTATTTTATTCTTGTAGTTCTTTCCACTGTGGCTTTAACAGGCGCTCTGTCAGTTTTCGGTCAGGTAGCTCAAGGCAGGGCTGAGATAACAGTGAAATGGTGTTTTGCAAACTGTCGAATAAAACAGTTTTTTAAATACAAGCAAGGTCTCTTAAATTGAAGCGAACACAGACACATTTTTAACTGCCCTTCTGTGTAACAGCTCACATGGCAGCAACACTCGCCTGAAAGTGCTCTTTTAAGCAGTTATATAAGCATGTTATGTTTCATACTATATTGTTTATCATTAGAGCTTTGTTTGACTCTCGACTTCTATTTGTGGGCAAACACATTACGACACTACAGGGTGTTATAAAAACCATTTAATGCTATTTTCTAACTAAAAAGAAAAAAGTTTATAATAAATGATTATTTCCTATCAATTCTACTTTGTTGTTTCTTCAAAATGTTCAGTTTTGGATAATGAAATTCAACTCCTGCAGATGTTTCACAGTGAAAGCCTTCCAGGAAAAGGAGTGGATTATGCCCCCTGAACTGCTCTAAGGCTTTTACTTTGAAACTAATTGGGAATTGTTGAGCAGGGGAAATATTCTCTAATTATAACCCTGTGTCGAATACACCCCATCTCTTCCCAGTCCCAGCTGTGGAATGCACGGTAGAAATGAAGTGAAGGGTCATAATTGCTCAACTTATCATATTGTTACGCTAAAATTCAAACCATTGATTGCTTTCTCCTCCACATTTGACACTGAAATCTACCAATGGCAATATTATTTTTTTACACACCATATGCTTTGTTTCTGTGATGCAGAGACAGAAACAGGCGGTGTGGAGGAGGCTGGCTGAGCGATCGTTTTATTAATTGTTTA